GGGGCGGGGCGGGGCGGGGGTGTGATGGGCCTCGGCCTCGTCCACGGGCAAGCACAAGCACGGTGGTGGCACAGTATGGGTGCTGCTGCTGGACTGGAAGCAAGGCAATTACACGGGGAGGAAACCTTTGGATGTGTCCTTCCTTGCGGACCTCTTCATCAGATACAAAGTTGTATGGGCGTTATAGACAAAACAAATCATTAGCCCTAGGTACAACTACATGTACCAGTTGGCTGACTAGCCCCGCGCACTTCTGTAGTTAGAATGCACCGCACGCAGGAGTGTGGGCGGGCTTGCCTATCGCCCCTGTCCCCGGCGCCTTACGAGCCGAGCCAGCAGGCAACCCACCCGTACCCGTGCATGCGGTACAGCATAACTACAGAGGTGCGCGGCACGAATCAGCCACCTGGTATTTCCTGACAGAAAAATTTGTGTCTGAGGATGTGCACAAGGACACGCCTAACCTGGGTTCAATAATTATTGTCTCTCCCCATTTAGAGTGCGGAGGAGGATTTTTGGTCACGAGCAAAGGTCCTCGCAAAGTCAATTTTCTGGTTTCCTCCTGTCGATACCTCGACTTTCACCTTTACCTTCGGGATGTTCAACAGTAGTGCAAATTTTGGCGATATGATATTTGAACCAGTACGGGCCGCTTCACTCAGCTTACATGACGGGTAACCATATCCAGCGCGTACCAGGGGCTATTATAGGGGACATTCGCAAGGTGGAATCAACCACAGCCCAGAGTCGACCCGCCAATTTTTTATTTTTTTTTATTTTTTGGAATTTGAACTACTAAAACAATGAGGCTGCTATTTAAAAACGATATTGGGTGGTGCGGGCATGGCGCTGCACCACTCAGTTAATATCATACCGGCATAAATTTGCACAACCAACGTGATAGTCGATGTATCGCCTACAAAGATGAAGCTGAAGAGGATACTGCCCAATGAGCCTAGGTCTACGTGAACCCTGTACAATGTGTCCGGGAAAAATTGTACTCTTCGAATATCAAATTGAGAGATCCATACAACTCTTGAAAACCCAGAAAATCAAATTGAAAGTCGCTAGCTCGACGCGTCCGTGCAACAATGACATTTATACATTTATAAATGGCATGCATACTTTGGTTAATTTTGGCATGCCAATGTACGTCTTTATAAAAGCATGTATGCCATGTACTCTTTATTTAAAGTATGCAATGTACACATTTGAATTGGCAGAGCAAGTGTTTGACTTAATCGGGAAAAGTGTCATGATTGTCACACACTCTTGTGTGAGTTACATGACTGGCAGGCACATTTTTGCGTCTGACATTTTGGGACGCACACTTTAGTGTTCGAATTTTCTATGTTTGTTGCGTAAGCAAGTTTAAAGTACGGGGTCTATGAAACACCTTGTAAGTAGCACATAATGCATGGATGGCAAAACCTTGTTTCTGACATGTTTCTGATCATGATACGCACAACCGGCACAGGCCGGTCGGACAAGTTGTTAATTTCTCTCAAGTGTTAATGGTCTTGTTGTGCGTCGATTTTCAATTTCAGCGCTTCTGATTTTACCTTCACTTGTCACTGCTTTTCACAAAAAACGCAATTCAAACATTTTATAGAAGGCCTTATAAGGCCAACGTTTTATTTTAAAATACTTGATTCATTTTGATTTATTTGCGCGAGCACGTCTTTTGTCTCACAGATATTTATTTCTAAAAACTAAAGATCTTTACCTAAATTAATCAGTTGTTCCATTTATCGTAACTGCCTTAACTGTTACTATTATATTAATTTCTTTCCAATGTTGGCACACTCATTGAGCAACCCTCCCCCTTTCGCCTCTCCACTTCCCTTCCCTTTTCCCTTCTGCCATCCGCCGATCGAGCAGAAGCGAATCCAGACGAAAAGAAAATCATGCATTTCAAAGTTTTGTGCCGAATTACATCCTCTGCAAAGGTATGTCGGGCATTTATGAAGCCTTCAGGACTTTGTGTCACTTCCAGTTATACACTTTGCGCGGTCCTGGTACATATTCATCGCGAAAACTTGGTTTTGGTGTACGGCCGTGCGTCAAGGTGTCGTTTGGTTTGACCTATACGACTGAACCAACTCGGGTGGAACGCTTCCACATGTCATGCACACAAAATATGCCATACATCTTTGGCATTCAGAAAGTCTATCTCTAAATAAAAAGACATTTTTTGTTTGTTAGTGACTGTGTCACTGTTTTAAAACTGGTGGGGCTGCTTTCAAATTTAGAGGTTAATGGTGCCTTGACGGTAATATCTTTGTTTAAACAAGTCTTCCGCTCCGCAACAGTCTCAGCACCGATACAATTTTAACTCCTCTTTTTATTTACGTTATATTTAACAATCACGCTTCATAAATATCTTCTCGCACGTCTTGTGACATTGGTCAACAGTTGACAGCAATTACTTAAATGGTATAAAAATTGTTCAAAATCCTTGTGCGACCCTAAAACCCATTATATTTAAATGGAAATTCATGAGAATTTTCTAAGGAAATATTATTGACATGTTTTTTAAATGTATATTACTTGATTAGAGAGATGTTGATAAATATGCAGATTTGACACCAAGGTCAATGTCATGATTCCATGCCAGCTTGTTCTTTGCAAATGTCTACTGTGCTGAAATTGTTGTCAAATATACTCATTGATTTCTTGATTTTCTGTTTAGCTCAATACTTTGCAGAGATGTCCACAAGTGGTCCTGTCGCTCTGCTCTCAGAGGCGGAGTTATTCAAGTGGCCAAGAAGCAGATATTGTCGTAATTGGTTCAGGGCCTGGAGGATATGTTGCAGCTATTAAAGCAGCACAGTTAGGATTGAAAGTAAGTGACTCTCCATTTTTAGTACTTAAAATATATATTTTTAAATATATTTTTGTCACCTGTAACTAATTGTTTTTGTTACTTTTTGTCTGTTGCTTTTCTCTTTAGACTGTTTGCATAGAGAAGAATGCTACACTGGGTGGTACCTGCCTTAATGTCGGCTGCATTCCTTCCAAAGCTCTCTTGAATAATTCTCATTATTACCATATGGCGCACTCTGGAGATTTAGCAAGCAGAGGCATTGAAAGTATGTGCATTACATCAATTTTAGATGCAGCGGATTTTAAACTATTAGTTCTTATTCAGTATTTGTTTTAAACTTTTAGGTTCTGGAGTAACATTGAATTTGGATAAGATGATGCAGCAGAAAGTAAATGCTGTCAAAGCACTGACAGGAGGCATTGCCCATCTGTTTAAACAAAACAAGGTATTGATTATAATACGTACTAAATATCTACTAACAGTATAGCATTGAATATATATTATCCTAAATGTTATGTTTCTAGGCTTTACATATATTTATTTAATGTTACAGGTAACTTTAGTTAGTGGACATGGTAAAATCACTGGACCGAATGAAGTCACAGCATTGAAAGAAGATGGCTCTACTGAAGTAGTCAAGACAAAGAACATCCTCATTGCTACAGGATCAGAGGTGACACCTTTCCCTGGCATTGAGGTAACTGTCATATTTTACATATCACATATTGATTGATTGATTCACTCCATTCGCACCAACATATAGGTAAATTATATTTTTCTGTTCTTTTAGATTGATGAAGAAACTATTGTTTCATCCACTGGTGCCCTCTCTTTGAAAAAAGTACCCGAAAAACTTGTCTTGATTGGTGCTGGAGTCATTGGTCTTGAACTGGTATGATTTATCAATTTATTAATACTGCTGTTGCTGGGTTTTTCCTCATTCAAAACAATATGAATCCTGTGCCTTTACAGGGATCTGTTTGGGGACGTCTTGGTGCTGAAGTAACTGCTGTTGAATTCCTTGGTTCCATTGGAGGTGTAGGCATTGATGCGGAAGTGGCTAAGACCTTCCAGCGAATTCTTCAAAAACAGGGAATGAAGTTCAAACTTGGCACTAAAGTCACTGGAGCTTCTCGTCAAGGTGACAAAGTTAAGGTCTCTGTTGAAGATGCTAAAGATCCCTCCAAGAAGGAAGAGGTGAGTCAAAATTAATCTAAATTGACTTTTAAACACAACAGTGTGCATCATCCAAGTATTGCATGACTCTTTGCAGTTGGATGCTGATGTTCTTCTCGTGAGTGTTGGCCGCCGACCATTCACCAAGAACTTGGGACTGGAGGATGTTGGTATTGAAAGGGACGACAAGGGTCGTGTCCCTGTCAATTCACGCTTCCAGACTGTTATTCCCAAGTACGCTAACCTTTTCATCATTTCATTGTGATACTGAAGTTTGCAGATTAAAAATTTTCCCCCTGTTATTTCAGCATCTACGCCATTGGAGACTGTATTCATGGCCCCATGCTAGCACACAAGGCTGAAGATGAAGGTATTGTGTGCGTGGAGGGTATTGCGGGAGGCCCTGTGCACATTGATTACAACTGTGTACCATCAGTAATTTACACTCACCCTGAAGTTGGCTGGGTTGGCAAGAATGAAGAAGATCTCAAGAAGGAGGTAAAAGGCTAATTTAAATCAAGTATGTAATAAACAATTTGATATGCCAGTAGACAATGTATCTCATAAATTATGATTCTAGGGAGTTGAATACAAAGTGGGCAAGTTTCCGTTTGCTGCCAACAGCAGAGCTAAGACCAACAATGAGACTGATGGCTTTGTTAAAATTCTGGGTGATAAGCACACTGACAGGCTGCTTGGCGCCCACATCATTGGACCTGTATGTATTCTTCTCGTCATCTATAGTAGTAGTATGTATGTATATTTGGGAAAAATGTACCAACTAAAAATGGTTTCAGGGTGCTGGTGAACTGATTGGTGAGGCTTGCCTTGCTATGGAGTATGGTGCATCTTGTGAAGACATTGCTCGTGTTTGCCACGCACATCCCGTATGTACCTTTTTTTTCCTTTGTAGTAAAGGTGTGATACTTACAATGGGACTTGATATTTGATTTATTTTCTCTTGACAGACCTGCTCAGAGGCATTCAGAGAAGCAAACGTAGCTGCCTATGCGGGCAAGGCAATCAACTTCTAAATTGTTGCAACTATTGCATGCTGCAAGCTGCATTGTGATCATTTTAAGGTGTCTCCGAGACTGAAGTGGCTATTCCAACAGTCCACGACTCTCAAGATGAAATTATAGATACTAGGAGTGGAAGCAAAATTTGATTTTAATTTAATTTTAATTTTATATCATTTCTGATTTAGGTACAAATTGTGAATGTTAGTCATACCATAACTGACATCTTGTTGGCGGCTCTGATTTTACTTCTATGCAAGTAAAGAAGACCATGTTAATATAATATAATTTTACCAATTTTTATCCCGTCATTCCAAATAGCTATGGTTCCTGCTTTTAATAACTGTAGAAAGTTACCTTCAAAAGTAATTTGTGCAGTTCTGACTTAACATCAGAAGTTTCAGGGAACTGCGCCTAGCTTTGTCCACATTAGATCACTTGACTCATCTGGTGGAATTTGTTCACTTAAAACTCAGCCATATCCCAGACTTATTTAGGCTGGTATTTATTGATAATGTAAGTGCTTTAAATTTCTGTACAAAGTCATAATGTAAAGCAATTAATAATCTCGTTTTTTTGTTGTTTTTTTGAAAATAATCTCTAATTATTTCTCCAAGATACATACTGAGTGAATTTTGATGGTACATATATTTCATATTTCACGTGGCAAAATCATTTTATTATTTTCAACGGAATATCTTACATATTTCTTGTAGTTTCAACGTGATAAAAATTATGTAGCAATCTATGGCAATCTTATTTGTCATACAGGCAGAATGCAAATTATGCAGTTGTAGAAGAATTAGGAAACAGAACAACGCAAGGTTGATGAGATATGGCTTCAAAATTATCTTTACCAATCAATACATAGCCAACACATGCCAACAATCAATAGTTTACTGAAAATTAATGTTGTGATAATCAGTGCTACACCTACACTCCTATGTAAAGGTTAACTTAAAACAAAAACATGAGGCAAGTGTGGGAGGCGCCCCGATTGTCCGAACCTAATTTATCTATTTTAGTAAATAAAATGAGTAAAGTAGTTAATTACATTCTGTTATTTCATTTAGTGACAGTTGCTGAAATAAGAGCTAAATCAGGTACAGATACCATCAGGAGGGCAAACGAATCGCCTAACTGCAGTTCCGGGCCTGAGGAGGGGGGGGGGGGGAAATTGCCAAGTTCAGCTGTCTCATAGCGCCTTATAGGTAGGCAACATCTTGCTTGTAGAGCTTGCGTGTATTGCGGGATGGCCTACCCGGAGT